GGAGTATAGTGGCACAGTCATGACTCACACAACCGTCACTTCAAGCTATCCTCCTGCCTCAGCCTCCCAAGTAGCTGGGACTACAGGTGTGTGTCACCATGCCTAGCTAATTTTTTTCCTTTAAAAATACTGTGGTTTCCGAACACTCATACTGTTTAGTGTGTATATGCATGTACTATTTAGTGTGTATTTATACTGGTCAGTGTGTGTGTGTATGTGTGTGTATGTATGTGTTGCAATACTTTATAACATACTAGCAACTTAATTTAATGAAAAATAGGATAGGTAAGTTGTATAAAATGTAAGTATTAAACTCCAGTTGATTTTTTAACAGAAAATTGGAACAAAACAGTTTGCCTGAAAATTATAAGCCAGGGATTAAAAACAGAGATGTACAACATTTTTGTGATTGTATGACATGGTATATTCATTGGTAAGAGAAGAAAGAGGTGAGAAGTTAGGTTTTGAGCCTTTTATAAAAATTGTAATAATAGCTGGGCATAGTAGCTCACACCTGTAATCCCAGCACTTTGGGAAGCTGAGGCAGGAGGATTGCTTGAGCCTAGGAGTTTGAGACTAACCTAGGCAACATAGCGAGACCTTGTCGCCAAAAAAATTTTAAAAATTAGCCAGGCGTGGTGGTGTATGCCTGTATTCCCAGTTACTCGGAAAGCTGAAGCTGAAGGATCATCTGAGCACGGGAGGTTGAGGCAGCAATAAGCCGCGAGTGTGCCACAGTACTCCAACCTGGGCAACAGAGGTGAGATCCTGACTCAAAAAAGTAAAAGTAAACAGGGCTCGGTGGCTCAGCCTGTATTCCCGCGCCTTTGGGAGGCTGAAGTGAGTGGATTGTCTGAGCCCGCGGGTTCGAGACCCGCCTGGGCAACTTGGCGAGACCTCATCTCTACCATAAATCAAAAATCAGCTGGGCGTGGTAGCGCATGCCTGTAGTTCCAGCTACTTGGAAGGCTGAGGCGGAAGGATCGTCGGAGCCCAGCAGGTTGAGGCTGCAGTCACCGGGAGCAGCCACTGCACTCCAGTCTGGGTGGCCGAGGGAGACTCCAACTCAAAAAAAAAAAAAAGTAATAATAGTGAGGAATAATGATGACTATATTAGCTAACAGTTATTGAAGGCTCAATACACTCACCGTCCTAAGCTCTTGATATATACTGAATCATTTAATTCTCACAATAACCCAGTGAAGATTTTTTTTTCCCATGAGGAAACATGTATAGAGGCATAGGTCCTACCGCTGAAGTCAGGGTGTAAGACAGTGTGACTCCAGAGCCCCGTTCTGATTGCTGTCATTATCATTAGTGTGTTGACACTCGTTGACGTTAAAGTTTTTGGAAGCAGATTGTCTCTCTTAGTTGAAGTGTAAAGATTTGACAAATAAGTCACTTGAAATTCTCCCATAAAATTATTCAGTGTAAGTCATCTCATTGACTTATCTACCTAGTACAAGTATATATCTTGGTAAACTGTGTGCAATTTCAAACATAGCATAAAGCATTTGCCATAAAGAGTCCATATGAGTAATACAACTTTGAATAATATTCTTCTTTTAAAATTGTGCCTGACTGAAATCTGTAGACTCAGGTGTGGGATTTTGATTGTAATTGTGTGTGTGTGTTTTTTTTTTTGAGTTGGAGTCTCAC